ACTAATGTCGAATAAAGGGGAACGATCACGTTCCTCGATCTGCTGGCAATGCCCCTACTTATACAGCCCAAAATGCCGTTCGCCTTCTTGGCAACAAGAGCACACTGTTGACTCATATCCAGCTTCTCATCCACCGTGACCCTTAGGTCCTTTTCTGCAGAACTGCTACCTAGCCATTCAGTCCCTAGTCTGTAGCTGATGACTCACATCAATATGAAAGACAACTGTTGAGCTCAAGAACTAGGACCAAGTCTCTACGAACACAACAGAAACTGTGTTTGCATTTTGCTATATAGAAAGATGATTTAACAAACAAATAAAAAAACCACTGGTTTCGAAGTAGCAGCCGTGTTAGTCTGTATCCGCAAAAAGAACAGGAGTACTTGAATACAGAGAACATGAAAAGGTGGAAGTACCAATTGTAAGAGGCCAATCAATTGAGATGAGCTATCAGTAGCAGCAGAAAAAACTGAAGTGATAATCGAGATGACCCATAGAAGGTGTGAGGAGAACTTAACAGTGGGGGGGGGGGGGAATTCAATTAGTGTAATGACCCATCCATTCCCAGTCTCTGTTTAGACCTAAGTTAATTGTGTCTAATTTGCATGTTAATTCAAGTTCAGCAGTCTCTCTTTGGAGTCTGTTTTTGAAGTTTTGTGTCAGTTTTGCAACAAAAAAATGGTTGGGTCATTACACTAATTGAATTTTTTCATGTTCTCTGTATGTATAAATATCTTCTGTCTGTGTGTTCCACTCTATGCATCTGATGAAGTGGGCTGTAGCCCACGAAAGCTTATGCTGAAATAAATTTGTTAGTCTCTAAGGTGACACAAGTACTCCTGTTCTTTTTGCAAAAAAACCACTGACTACTCTCCGGTAACAGAGCAAAATGTAACCTGTTGATAGAATAGTTACATTTTAATGTATTGATTATAATTAATATTGCATTATCTCATTTATTTACATTGTTACAATATTAATAGTTTTTAAAATATATGACTGCAAAAGCCACAAAAATTTGGAAGATGATGGCAAAGGAAGTGTAGTGCCTGAAAGTACTTTAATTCATTTTTTGAAAATGACTAGGTTTTAAGTAGGCTGTGCTGCTTTAGAGAAAAGGACCAGAGCTTCAAAATGGTGTTTGCTTTGCCTACAACGCACTACTTTACCTTTCAGCATGTTTGATGCACATGTTGTTTCAATACCAGCTGTGTTGAAGTTGTCTTTTACTGCAACAGGAATTCCATCTAAATCCCCCAGTATCTGACCTGTGTTAGGAATTGGTACAAGGACAGAGTAAAATTTAAGTATTAAAACAGACTGTCTACGTTGCTTAGCAATGACATTTTATTTTACTCTTCAGCTTCTCTCTAACTTGGAAGTAGGAGTTGTACTGAAATGCTTTTAAGTTATATTTTCCAGGGCTTTGGAGCTGTGCTTTGGCTCCGCTCCAGCTCCAGGAAAAAACCTGCAGCTCCACTGCTCTGGAGCTGCTCCGCGCTCCAGCTCCAGGCTCCGCTCCAAAGCCCTGATATTTTCACAAAAGGTCTTTTGGTTTCAACTCTAACATTAAGGACTTTGCTCAGGCCAGATTTCCTCCCATACTGCATTGTCTCTGCAACTAAGGAAGTGGCTTCCAAACTAGGTAAATTATTCCAAAAGATGCTTACCACCTCAGTTGTGGCCATGTAATGCTTATTTCATCCTTAGACAGCTACTTAAATCTACTCCATTCCCAAGCCAGGAGTCATAGATTCTGCCTTCTGATGCACAGCAATTGTGCTCGGAATTGGTAGTTGGACAAAGTCTTTCATAGCTGACTATTAGTTATCCAGAGAAGAATCTCAAAGGGAATAAATGCCTTGAAGCGGAAGTATCCTAACCGGCATTTTGCTTAAGCAATGGGATGTTAGTTAGACAGAAGAGCAGATCTACCAGGGTGAAATTCCCGCCCCCCATTCCCCATCTTTTGTAAATGGTGATTACCTTGAGTGCAATCAGTATCTGTCCACAGAGCCTTTAGTCTCAATAGGCCCTATTGTTGTTCCATACAAGCAAATCAAATGAACAGTAGACTTCACTTTCTTTTTTTTTAAATTACTGAGTCTAACAAAGGTTCCATCCACTACAGTCAAAAACATTTATGGAAGAACAGCCATTAACTACAAATCTAGGGTAACTTACCTCTCCTATATCTCTCCTCTGATTCTTCAGCCTGTTTTAATGCTGTGTCTTCTGCTATAGTAATGTAAGCATTAAGAAATTTTGTGGCTTTGATAAAGGAGAGACATCTTTGACAAAGCTCTGTTGGACTCACTCGGCCTTCTTTCAGTGCTGCAGAGATCTGAAAGGACAGTTTCCATTTTTAAATCGCAAGTCCCTAGTTACAAATATTGGTATGACTTGCAAGGATTGTTTCAGTCAAGTTTCTAAAACTAATTCCTTCTCTTCCTCTACCCTTAATTTTGGGGATAAATTTGATACATGTAGTACTTTTATGATAGAATAAAAGCATTAGCTAAGAAAGCACTTCGTCAACTTTCACATACAACACTTTCAAAGCATTTCAGCCTCAACCAGCAATGCCAGTGCTATTCTGGTCATGTCCTAAGCAATTTCTAAATACAGTGGGAACATGAAACCCAGTCCTTCAAACTTTTACGCAGATGAGGAGTCTCAATGACATCCATCATGTGTACCACCACTGTTTACAGGATCAGGCCCATCGTTTGTAACCGGTTATTGTGTAACTGGTTATTGTGGATGCAAATATAAGTTTCGCAGCATAATTATGATTAAAGGTGGTTTTAAACACAGCTACAAAGCCCTACTGTGCGTAGGGCCTTAGTTAACTTGGTTTTGGCTGGGGAGGAAACTCACCAGCCAAAGCCTTGTTCCCCATAGCACCATCTCCCTCTTAATCAGTTAAACCGGGGTGGGCAAACAATGGCCCTCAGCCTGTGAGCCGTTTTAAGCTGGCTTGTGAGCTCCAGCCAGGGCACTGGGTCGGGGGCCGCACCACGCGGCTCAGCCCCGCTCTGGCGCTCCAGCTGGGGGCCACACCACACAGCTCCTGGAAGCTGTGGCTGCACCATGCCACTGCTTCCAGGAGCCGCTCAAGGTAAGCGCTGCTCAGAGCCTGGACCCCTGAACCTCTCCCCATGCCCCAGCCCTCTCCCCCCCCAAACCCCTCGATCCCAGCACAGAGCACCCTCCTGCACCCCAAACCTCTCATCCCCAGCTCCACCCCAGAGCCCACACCCCCAACTCGAGCCCTCACCCATACCCCAACCCCAATTTGGTGAGCATTCATGGCCCTCAATAGAATTTCTATTCCCCAATGTGGCCCTCAGGCCAAAAAGTTTGCCCACCACTCAGTTAAACACACACAAATAATAATCCAAAAAGGATTAGGATTTTAACCAGGCTGTATTCAGTTAAGGTGACCAGACGTCCCGATATTAGGGGCTCTGTCTTATATGGGACCCTATAACCCACCCTCCACCCGTCCAGATTTTTCCCACTTGCTGTGTGGTCACTAGCTCGTGGGTAATGCGCCGCAGTCTAGACAACCCTTGGAGAGAAGATTTTTATTAACAGCGCTGCTTGCTGTGTGTCCTGTCAACGCCTCCCCCCGTTCCCAGCTGGGCCGCAGTGCCAGACGCAGGGCTGAGTGTGCACGGTGCTGCGCGAGTGCCAAAGCGCGTCCCCTTCTCGCTGCCGGCTGCACCACTTCTTGCTCTTGCAGGGTTAACACACTCCGCCGCCCTCCTGGCCTTTGCGCCGCCGCCAGCGGGGGTTGGGTGGCGAAGGGCGGGAGCCTCGCCTGGGCACAGCCGGGTCGGGCGCGGGGTGGGAAGTTACACCGCGCACACCGGGGACCCCGATACCACGGCGCGGGCTGGGCTCCAGGCAGCTGGTGCAGGCATAGCTTGGGGTTCCGCTTCCACCCGTCCCCATAGGCGGGAGCCCCCGAGCAACACCGGGGGCGGAGGGGAAGGCCGCTCACTTCTCTGAGGGAGACGCGCAACATCCTCTCCGCGGCATCACTCGCCCCGGCCGGGGATCCCGCACGGTCACAGCCAGAGCGTCAGTCGCGGCTCGGCCAACCGGGTATGGGCGCGGCCATCTTGGGCTGCACCGCTCAACATGGAGCGACTCCATTGGCTCGAGTCTTCGTAGACTGGCATGATACCGGGTCGCCATTGGCTGAGGTGGGAGGAGTGGGCGTGGCCTGGCGGAGAGTGCCCCTCAGTCTGTGCTCGCTGAGCGGAGGAGATTCAGGCCAGACGGGGACTCGCTGAGGGGGGGACGCGCTGGCTCTGGGGGCAAGGGCAAGGAAAGGGGAGAGCGAGGCGGGGGCTGTCTCACTTTGAGGACGGGGTCTTGTGGGGGGAGGCTGAGCTGATTGGGGAGGGGGCACTGGGATTTGGTGAGTTATAACGCGTTTGGGGGATCCCCCCCCTCCACGCTTTCAAACTAGGGATTCTCTGGGGGCTGTGATGCTTGTGGGGAAAAGCCAGTTTGTTTAGTTCCCCTACTTTACACCCCAAAACCTGTGAGTCTTGTGGTTAAAAGTTGAATCTAGACACCCCCCTCCCCCATATGGTTGTAAAAGAAGAATTAGAGTAATAGTAAAACATTTTAAAAAATTGAAGTTGGCAAACATACATGGGTTTGATTGGCTAAAAAACTATCTCTGTGCAGATGGGAAGCATTAGTGTGGCCAGCGTATAATTATTTTTACACATCTAGAATAGTAGCTAGAGTCATTAAAGATCCCACCTTATGCGTTGGCAATAATGTATTTAAAGATGCATCTGCTTAGTAGGAGAGCATACAGTGGCTTGCTTTTCAGTCAAGGTTCCATGGCAACTTGCCTTAGAAGAGGCAAAAGTTTAATCAAACCCCGTCTATGTAGAAATATCAGCCTCTCCTGTCAGAGATATACAGTTATGACATCGTGGATAATAGAGAGATATGGACGAAATGATGTGCTACGATTTACAAATAACATGATGTTCCCTGTAATACATTTTCCAAATGAAGTCATTATTAAAGTCCATGCTGCAAGTTTAAACCCTATAGATGTTAATATGAGAAGTAAGTGATTTATTTTGAGTAGGAATTATTATATTTTTGTGTATTTTAGTGTTGATTAAGTTCTTAACATAACATGGTTCATACTGTAAATATAATTTTATTATACCTCTATTATTCTTATTAAATTGTTGTTGTAAATCATAGTCCAAAATTTGCCTTTGGCTCCAATAGTTTTTAAACAGGGCTGTTTGGAAAGATATTCCATGATTATTGTGGGAAAATACTCTTGCAAAACTTTTTTTCTGTTAAATTGTCAGGGGAGAGTGGTGAATTTTAGACTATAGTTCTGCATCTACCAAAGCAAAACTAGGCTGGGTTGTAGCCCAAGTAATACAAGCAGCTGGTTGCTGCCCTTCACAGACTTAAAACTCATGATCAGAATGAGAATCAACTTGCAACCCAATTTTAAAGTGTTTTTCTTCTTCTGTTAGTTTGGTTCCGATTGTGCAAGGGCCCAGGCCTGCACTGTGCTGAGTTCCTCTTGCAAAACACTGAGCTTCCTCAACTCCCATGACAGTTGGCTCATAGAATTCATTCCCAAAAATGTTTATTTCTCATCTTTGTCCTAACTTCCTGTTGCATAGGTGCCTCAGTGGCTACTTTTATTGGACCAACTTCTGTTTGTGAGAGAGACAAGCTTTCGACCTTACACAGCTCTTTTTCAGGTCTGCTGTCCACTGAATTCAAGGCTTTGGCCAATCAGTACATTTAACTGATTGATCATTGCCATTTGATGTTTTTCTAGTCAGACAATTTTTCTCAATAGCAGGCTCAGAAATCTTAACAAAAACTTAAAATAACAGAAAATCTTATATTTCACTGTTTATTCACAGCAAGATGCAATCTTGCATTTCAAATTTTGATATTGGCTTTAGATGAAAATTGAAAGAACTTTCTATTTTTTTAAACAACTGAGCTTAAAATTTCAATGATAAAGCAATTACCGTATATATTCGTTTATTAGCATGTTCGTTTATAAGCTGACCTCTTCCCCCCCCCCCCCCAAAAA